ACATGATTAAGGGGGGAAAAAAGTGAAAGGAAATTTGTAACTTGCAAGTTCATACTTCAAAATCATCAAGTTCTAATGCAGACCAGTGTTTCTCAACTTTTTTTTTTTAAAGTGCTCCTTTTTAAAAAAAATAATTTAAAAAATTATAAGTACCTCCACTACCTAGTTTTCAAACAGACAATTTTTTCTTCCATTGCAACACATTTGTTTAAACAACCTAATTGTAGCCAGGTGGGTGATGATATTTTTGGGTGTAAAAAGTACAAAAATAAAGCGCTGTAAAACTTAAAATAAAAATTCAGTTTGCTCCAAATTTCAGTTGTGGTGACATACCCCTCAGATTTCTCAAGTACCCCTCACATTTCTCAAATACCCCAAGAGTACTCGTACCACTGGTTGAGAAACACTGATTTATGCACACTCGCTGGCTTGGTGGTCTACGAGAGCACATTTCTGAAAATGAGAACTCTAAACCAGCTGGAAGAGCTCACAGGACTTGGAGCTTTTCCAGGATATTCCAAATTCCTAAACATGCTAAGTCATAATGCATTTTGGACAGGTTCCCCCATTTAGCTAGGCTGTTTTGTTACTGCCTCAGCTAGAGGAGCTACTGGCTGCAGTTTCAGTTAAAGGAGGGGTTCCGGACTCAGGGCGTTAACATTCTCTGGCTGGAATCTGTGTGCCCCACAACCCAGAGAGGCCTCCATCCAACTCTACTGTATAGAGCAGTAACATGTTACATTCTCCCTTATCCACAAGGGAGAAGCAGTGGACGTGGTATACCTAGACTTTAGTAGAGCATTTGACAGAGACTCATATGACCTTCTTATCAATAAACTAGGGAAAAGCAACCTAGATGGGGCTACTGTAAGGTGGATACGTAACTGGCTGGATAACCATTCTCAAAGAGTAGTTATTAACAGTTCAGAATCATGCTGGAAAGGCAGAACAAGTAGGATTCTGCAGGGGTCTGTTTTGGGACCGGTTCTGTTCAATATCTTCATCAATGATTTAGATATTGGCATAGAGTACAATTATTAAGTTTGCAGTTGATACTAAGCTGGAAGGGGTTGCAACTGCCTTGGAGGATAAAGTCATAATTCAAAATAATCTAGACCAACTAGAGAAATGGTCTGAGGTAGACAGGATGAAGTTTAATATGGACAAATGCAAAGTGCTCCACTTAGGAAGGAACAATCAGTTCCACACATACAGAAGGAGAAGCGACAGTCTAGGAAGGAGCACTGCTGAAAAGGATCAATGACCTCTCAAGGTTATAGTGGCCCAACAAGTTAAACATGAGTCAACAGTGTGACTATGCTGGAGAAAAAAAAAAGCCAACACGATTCTGGGATGCATTAACAGGAGCGTGATGACCAAGACATGAGGGCTGTGTCTACACTGGGCCACTTATTCCAGAAAATCAGCCGCTTTTCCGGAATAAGCTGCGAGCTGTCTACACTGGCCCTTGAATTTCCGGAAAAGCAATGATGCTCTACTGTACAAAATCAGCCGCTATTCCGGAAAAACTATTCTGCTCCCGCTCGGGCATAAGTCCTGTTCCGGAAAAGGGCCAGTGTAGACAGCCTAGTAGTCTTTTCCGGAAAAAAGCCCCGATCGCGAAAATGGCGATCGGGACTCTTTTCCGGAAAAGCGTGTCTACATCGGCCACAGACGCTTTTCCGGAAAAAGGGCTTTTCCGGAAAAGAAGCCTGCCAATGTAGACGTTCCTTTTCCGGAAAAACTGAAAACAGAATAGTATTCCGTTTTAAGCATTTCCGGAAATTCATGCCAGTGTAGACACAGCCGAGAAGTCATTCTTCAGCTCTACTCTGCCCCTATTAGGCCTCAATTGGAGTACTGTGTCAAATTCTGGACATCACATTTCAAGAAAGATGTGGAGAAATTGGAGAAGGTCCACAGAAGAGCAACAAAAATGATTAATGGTTTAGAAAACAGGACCTATGAGGGAAGACTGAAAGAACTGGGCTTGTTTAGTTAAGAAAAGAGAACGGCTATCATGTCTCCTCTCAGTCTTCTCAAGTACCTAAAAGGGTGCTACAAGGGAGAGGGAGAAAAATTGTTCTCCTTGGCCTCTGAGGATAGGTCAAGAATCAATGGGCTTAAACTGCAGCAAGGGAGGTTTAGGTTGGACATCAGGAAAAACTTCCTGTCAGGGTGACTAAACACTGGAATAAATTGCCTATGGAGGTTGTGGAATCTCCATCACTGGAGATATTTAAGAGCAGGTTGGATAGATATCTATCAGGGATGATCTAGGCATTATTTGGTCCTGCCGTGAGGGCAGGGGACTGGACTCAATGACCTCTTGAGGTCCCTTCCAGTTCTAGGATTCTATGATTATCTGTATCTGCAGTTCAGCTTGGAACGGACTTGGAAGAAAGATATGCTGTGGCATATGGAAATAAAGCATCCTAACTTCACCTTTACTCACGGTTTGGGTTATTAAGTTGCGTGGTCAGGTCAATCTGACTCAGTTAATGCTACTGAGTGACTGATCATATATGCCTCCTCCCCAAACTCTCAAACACTTTCACACTTGTGTTCAAGGATTTCTTAACTACCAGTCTATTGCAAATACCAGAAGAGAAGTTTGTCTTGCAGGTTAGGTTTCAAAAGCAGGAAATCTTCCACTGAAACTCCAAAAGTGCTTTTTCTGCATCAAAGATTGGCCTAATCTAGGAAATTTCTCTAAAGGTTTTAAAACCAATTCAGCTACATCAACCAAATCCATTAGAACTCTTCCATATGGTACCCAGGATTCCTTTCTTCGATGTTGTTTCCACCTCACTTCTTTTTTTTTTGGAAAAGTCATGGTTGGAGAGCAGTGGCAGCTGTTCTACTTGCCCAGACACACACAAACATTCTGTACAAGGGAATACTGGACATTCTATTGTCAATGATTGTCAGAATTTACAAGCTATACATGAGCGTGTATCTACAGTAATCCATACAGCAAGAATCACCATTACACCAATTGGCTTGGCCACAGAATCTCCGCCACAGCAAGCACCTAGGATTCCAGTTTCTTTTGGAAATGTTCTGGTGCAAAAAAAGCCCAAAAAACCCCAAACACAGAATCTAGCTTAATTCTGTAATATACAAACTTGCAATTCATCATGGAGATGATGTCCCTTAATTCCTCCTAACCTTTCCCCATACGTTTAGAATTTCAAAAGGGTCACAGTAAAATGGAAAAAGCAGTAAACTACAAGTCAAGGTAAGTATGGGGGAGCCTTGGTACATGGTAACTACTTCTGCCAGTTCCTAGAAGATCACAATTTATTACAAAAGTAGACCGCAACAGACTAAAGTTTGGAAGCGGTCAAATGAATCAATACCACCGAGCCTAGTAATTTTTCTAACAGGAACAGGTTTCACATGCTTTCAGTTAAACCAGGGACAGGGTAGGGGAAAGAAGGCAAATCCAACATCCCGCTTCCCCTTCTGCAGGTTTATGAGCAATTAAGCCAAATCAGTAAAATATGCATTTGGTTTAAATTACAAATGATTTCTCTGCAGGCACCTGAATACACTGAGGAAACTCCTGAACCATGAACAGCCAAAGAAAACCCCACAGTGCCAACCCACACAAGGCTGGCAGTGTCATCAAATTGGCACTCCTGCGACCTGCTTCTAGGACAACACGAAGAAGCTGGAAATCCAGAGAGACCAAGTCCACCAGGCAGTTTCCAAATGAATGAGCTGATCTAGGAAGTAAAAGGGTTAAATTCCTTCCCTGCTCTCACAGTTCAAATTCCTTAGACCAGTTACTTCTACCAAACACATGGAAGAAAATTGCAAGGAAAAGTTATTTTGACAGCCTTTTTCCTAGGAGGAATTCACTTAGGGTCTGCTTTTCCAGAGGTACCATAGCTCTCACAACCTTCATCAGGATTAGATGAGCTCAGCACTTCTTCAAAATCAGTCCTGGGCACTCTGCTGCAGGGTTGCTCAGACACACATACACAGGTTTGCAAAATAGAAAAAACCAGTAAAAACCCTCTCTCCTGGAGAAGAACAACTCCCACCCTTCTCAGCACGTATAGCACTTTTGGAGACTCAGTTTTCCCTGTAACCAAGCAGTTCTAACAGCCCAATATGTTGTTAGTTACTCTAGGGTTTATATAAAATCTGATTTTGGAAACCACTAAAGGCTGCCCTAAACATTCAGAAGCAGCAAGACAGAAAGTTTGTTTGCATAACAGGAAGTGATAATCAAGGTGAATAGTTGGCAACAAAACAGATTTTGATTAGCAAGAGTGGGGACATAGAACCCCCAAGCAGGCAGAGAGACGCTAAGCCAACCCACAATGGGGAAGGGGACTTAATAATGAATTCTACAAGAGTGGTCCAAATGTTACAAATTACACTATTGCTGCAGTGCTTGGGTCCATAAAAAGTTATGGCAAACAGGTGGATCAACAGCATTTATTCGAGAAGATTAATCCATGGTTTTGAAACTAACAACTTTAGCTACAGGGCTGCTGTTTTCCTTTGCAAGGCGATTTGCAATGCAAAGCAAGCTATTTCAACCCTTACCAAAGACAGTAATGCAGAAGAAGAAAAAAGTTGATTGGTTTAGATGCAATTTTCTACTGAGTTAAAGCAAAAGTACAGTTTGGTTAGTTCTTTCCTGCATACTATGTGAGAGCTTCTCTCTTTTGGAGGGGGGAGATATTTGTGATCAAAGTGTTCATCGAGAGACCCCAATATCTTTCAGAAACATCACCCCCAAATAGCTTAATTGAATTCAGTTCTTATCAAAGGCCACACACATACCTACCCAACAATAACCAGTCTGTGGGCTCTGCCAAGATGGGGAAAGAAGAGAAATGGCATGCAGCAGGATTATTAAAAATCACGTGGAAGGGGCAGGCAAGTGTTAGCAATATACTAAATAACTCAGTCCAACACAGTTAAACAGAGAAAGGAGGAGTATGAGGGTAGTGAGAAGAGAATTATACAGAACCTCTTACCTGGAAGACAAACTAACAAAGTCCCCTCCATCCAGCAGCCTTATTTTGCAGAACAGAACACCATTCACAAAGGGGACAGCAGTCAGCTCCTCCAGGGTGAAACTGGTCTGAAATTTAAACTTCTTTTTCTTCATCAGGAAAGCCATGGGCAGGCTCTGAGAAAAGTCCAGGAACTCAGAACAAGATCAGAGAGGAACTTCTCAAAATACACACAGAGAAAAAGAGGCACAGGCAGCCCTTTCAGGAGTGGAAAATCAAGCGTGTAAATTTCTGTTCAATTGCAATGAAGGCCCGCATCAAATGCACAATCCTCTTCTCTCTCTGGTGGTCTGATTTGGCTGTGAAATCATTGCCCTGGAAGGCTTCAGGTGCTGAGGAAGAGGACAGAGTAAACTTCTCGAACATCTCCAGGGAGGAAAAGGAGGGAGAAAAATCCAAGCTCCAGACCCGCAGGAGCTCCCCTGACTGCAGTTCTTGTGTTTAAAGGCTGTGGTGCTCTGTGTCCATCAGGCCCCTTTCGGAAACCATCTCTGATGAGAAGTCATCCTGAACTAGTCTGTCGGAAGAAATCCTAGGTCTACAGACCACACAGTCAAGGTTTCCTGGTTTCAGTCTCCTCCCCTTGTGTGACAACTTTACACAGGTCTCAGCTGTCTGTGGCTACTGCTTCAACAGGTGGCTAATGTTAAGTAGGGAGGGAAACAAGTAAATAAATTAGTTTCAGTCAGTCCTGGGCACCTCTGCCAAAATCTATTCAGATGGGTAATTTCTGTCCCACCTCACTGTTGTCTAAAGACAAGGAATCCAGTAAACCTGTTTCAGAGATTCCTCCACCCCCCTCCCTTTTCTGCCTACTGCCATCTTCACTGCCCCTGGGTTGCACTCTATTTTTCAATAAGTGTTTAATACTTATCTGTCCTAGAATGATTTTTAGCCATAGATCTCAAAGCAATTTAAGGAAAGCAAGTCTAACAGTTAATCCACTGAAAAATATTGGAGAAATGGGGGGAAGGAGTCAGAGTTCTTTGGGAAGTTTCAACGTTTTGGCTCCCTCCATCCCCCCTAGAAATTTGCAATTTCCCTTATCTCAGCCCCTCCCCCAACTAGCTCTAAGCGTCCCCCTGGCTCAGGGGGGATATCGGAGGGAGTCTTCACCTAAGCAAAGTTCCTGGGGTCGGACCCGCTGTCTCCCCTGTGCCGATTTAACCCAAGTGGGAGCAGAGGCAGCAGACATGGGGGGGGCTGCAAGCCGCTTGGGGTCTGACGCCAGAGCGGTGCCACGAGGGCTGGGGGGCCCTGTCCCGTGTCTCGCTAAAGGCCTGCGGGGATCCGCTCACACATGCGATGAGCTGAGCCCGGTCTCTGCCCGCCTCCGCCGTGCAACCGGTCTCCTCGCCAGGGGCCCGGATCCAGCCGCAGCCCCGCCCGCCCGGGACTGCCCCAGCCCGGTTCCGCTCGCGCCTCTGCACCGTGAGCGCAGCGCCCCGGGCAGGCGAACGGCGCGACCCCCGGGACCTCGCTCACCTCCTGCCGCTCCCCGCAGAGCGGCCGCCCGCACCGCAGCCCCTGCGAACGCTCCTACGCTACGTGCGCCGGCCGCGCTCACGGCGCAGAGTGGAGCCGTTCCCAGCGGGCCCGCCACGCTTCGAGAATACGACAGCCTAGACAACATTCCCCCCCCCTCCCACAGGGCCGGGAGGAGAGCGCCGTCCTCTGATTGGGCAGCAGCGCAAGGGGCGGGGAGAAGGAAGCCACAGAAAGGCTGGGGGAGGGGCGAGATATGGGCTTGATGGTTGAGGGAGGTAACTGTCAGTCTAGGTAAAACCCATCCCTCCCCCTTCCTCCTCATTGGGGTGGGAGAAAAGGGGCGGGGAACTGAAGCCCCGAGAGCTAGAAAGTTCCTTTCATTTCTGCAGGGCCGCTGAGCAGTGCAGCCCATCACGTGACTTCAGGCGCTGCTGCCGAACTCCCTGATTTCACCTAAACACCGTGGAGCGGGAGCGGGCAAACGTTCGGCCTGAGGGCCAGTCTGGGCGGGGGCGCTCCTGGGGGCAGGGCTGGTAACATCGTTAGTTAAACAATTCACTGATAAACCCGGGCGTGCTGGTTAATCCCTACCACTATCCCCTGCCCCCGCCCCCCTTCTGTATCAGAGGCAGTGGGGGGGGGGGGGCAGGAGCTAGTGCAGTTGGCTCCCCATGAGCACCAGATCCCATGGAGCTGCCTCCCCCCCCCACCCCAACGCTGCTGCCTCTGATAGAGGGAGGGTTGCCAGATGGTTTCAACAAAAATCCCAGCCACACTTGACACCACAATCTACATTACATTTTATTTAGAAAATACCGGACATTTATATTTTCTCAGTTTCTTTCCTGAACAGAAATCTCAAATACTGGGCTGTTCAGTTCAAAACTGGACACCTGGCAACCCTCAACAGAGAATGAGCAGCACAAAGGGTGAAGCGGGTAGGTGGAGCCGGTTCATGTGGGAAGCGACTTTCAAGCTGGCTCCCCACAGATATCACATTCCGCAGAGCCACCTCCCCCACCCCAACACACAGATTGTGTCTAAACTGGCCAGTTTTTCCAGAAAATCAGCCGCTTTTCCGGAAAAACTTGCCAGCTGTCTACACTGGCCACTTGAATTTCTGCAAAAGCACTGACGATCTCATGTAAGTGTCAGTGTTTTTGCGAAAATACTATGCTGCTCCCGTTCGGGCAAAAGTCTTTTTCTGAAAAACTTTTGGGCAAAACGGCCAGTGTAGACAGCAGAGATTTGTTTTCCACAAAAAAGCCCCGATCGAGAAAATGGTGATTGGGGCTTTTTTGCGGAAAAGTGCGTCTAGATCGGCCACGGACGCTTTTCCGCAAAAAGTGCTTTTGCGGAAAAGTGTCCTGCCAATCTAGACACGCTTTTCTGAAAATGCTTTTAATGGAAAACTTTTCCGTTAAAAGCATTTCTGGAAAATCATGCCAGTCTAGATGTAGCCACACTGTTACCTCTCTGTCAGAGGCAGCAGAGTGGAAGGAGGTAGGCAGGAGTTGATGTGTGTGGGGAGCGGACTTTTAAGTTGGCTCTCCATGCATGCCAGCTCCATAGAGCTGCCTGACCCCCTTCTTGCTGCCTCCGGCAGAGGTAGTGGGGGGGGGACGACGACAGGTGAGACCTGCTGCTTTGGGTGACATTGGCTTAAAAGCCAGCTCCCCACCAGCACCAGCTTCATGAAGCCACCTCCCTTCCCCAGCGCTGCTCCCTATGTGGAGTGGCGGAGCATCCCCTGCGACAGGCAGCAGCACAGATGGCAGGGTGCTCCCTGGGAGTAGGGCCAGAGTGCACTGGCTACCGCCCCCACTCCTGGGGACTATTGAATAATCAATATCTAACATCACTAGCGAGCCATGAGTGCTCACAAAACTGCGGGCTGGAGTGTTGGAAGGGATGAGGGCTCCTGTTAGGGGTGTAGGCTCAGTCAGAGGCACTGAAAGCCTCCATAAGCACCTGGGCAAGGTGTGTGTGGAGAAGCAGGGGGCTGGCTCCACATTTCCGGAAGAGTCAGGGTCTCAGGTAGAAGGGGTGCGCAGGGTAGTCAGCCCTCATCACCGTCCAGAGTGCACCACACTGGCCCCCAGGTAGCTCTCAGTGCCACCTGGAACAAGGCCTTAGCACTGCCTAGAGCTCACAGCACTGCCCAGAGGGAAGCTTGAGGCACAGAATAAAAGGTTTGACAGGCTGGAGATGGCCTGCAAGCTGTAGTTTGCCCACTCCTGCCTGAGAGGATTTGGGTGTGGATCTTTAAAAAAGCCATCAAATAACAGGAGGCTTGTGATAACTTACTGGTGATACCAGTAACACTTGTATTTAGCCCTTCCCTAGAACTTCATATCTAGCCTCAAGCCTTTAATTGACACAGCTCTCTGATCCCATAGATTATTATCAGTCTGGATTCAGGAAGGTCCTTAAGCACATTCCTAGCTTTAAGCATGGAAATAAGCTATATTGCTATTTATTTCTTGTATCATGGTAATGCCCATGTGACCTGGTCATTGCCAAGGGTCCCACTGTGCTAAGATCAGTACAAACACAGAACGACTGCATCTAGACTGGCAAGTTTTTCCGCAAAGCCAGCTGTCTACACTGGCTGCTTGAATTTCCGCAAGAACACTGACTTCCTACTGTCTGAAATCAGTGCTTCTTGCGGAAATACTATGCTGCTCCCATTTGGGCAAAAGTCCCTTTTGCGCAAAGCTTTTGTGCAAAAGGGCCAGTGTAGACAGCTCAGATTTGTTTTGTGCAAAAAAGCCCCAATCGCGAAAATGGCGATCAGGGCTTTTTTGCACAAAAGCGCGTCTAGATTGGCATGGACGCTTTTCCGCAAAAAGTGCTTTTGCGGAAAAGCGTCCGTGCCAATCTAGACGCTCTTTTCCGCAAATGCTTTTAACTGAAAACTTTTCCGTTAAAAGCATTTCTGGAAAATCATGCCTGTCTAGATGTAGCCAACAAAGAGGGGCCCAATCCCAAACTACTTGCAATCATCGTTGGGACTTATGGACTTGATGGTAGGGATTGCTTAAGGGCCTTCTAGAATTAGGGCTGTTACCCATATTGCAGAGAGAGAAACTGGGGCCCACAGAAGGGAAGTGACCTGCCCAGTCTCATATAGCAAGTCTGTCAGAGACAGGATGAAAACCCAGGAGTCCTGGCTCCCATTGCCAATTTCCCACTCCTCCCATTTAACATCTAGAATCACTGCCTTTATTCACTACTGCAGACTATTACAAGAACTATTACATTATTTCTGCCTAGTATGAAACCTTTTTGCAGTGACAGAAAAAGCACATGGAAACTTCACGTCTGATTAGGATACTCTGATATCTTCAAGTCTTATTAGGAGCAACACTTTGCCATGCTGATTCTTGCTCACATGCTCAGGCTTAAAGTGCATGTGACCAAATTCAGGGTGAGGAGGAATATCTACATAGCCTTTCCACCTCCTATTCCTTAATAGAAATACTGTGGTGAAGAGTCAAATCTGCTGGATATTTTAAATCTGCCAGGCTGTGAAGGGTATGGGGGTCCCTGTAGAATTTTGGAAGCATTTCAAGATCACCTCTCCTTCTGCAAACTTTCTCTAAGATCCATTTTCAGAGGCATGGTGTACCCACTTCTGTCTCTAGAGAAATGATTAATTGTCCCGTTAGTAGCACACTAGGGATATCTATTGTGATTTGCTTTAATAAATAACTCCTTTAAGGACTTCTCTCCAGGGCTTATAGCAAAAGGACTGGATGTTAAAATGTACAGAGATTTTAAGCCCTGCTGTTCTCACGAATATTTACTCTACAGCCTTGTCAGAAACATCTCTTGAAAACCTCAATGTTTGCTTTATAATTAATTGAATAATGTGCCTGATGTTAAAAATAAATTTACTTGGAAAAATGCCCAGAGAATTGCTGAACAGTGTATAATATAACAACAGTAGTTGGATTTACAGGAATAGAGATATGTCTTTCTAACAAAGGAAGTGTCAGGAAACTGGGATTAAATTCGTGGGACAGAGATTCTTTATTATTCTGAAACTCTCCATCTAGGTATTTCTGTATTTTTACTGCACATTTGAGTCTTGATGAATTAACATCTTTAAAGGTCTCTTTGATGAGAGAAGATGTAATTGACTAGTTAGCTCTAGGGTCATGAAGATATCATCTATTATATACTTGAGAAAGTTCATCTGTTTATTTGTCTGTTTGTACAAGAACTCTTCCTAAATGGTAAGAAGTAGGACCACCAAATTCTGTGTACAGCTGCCTCTTCTCATAAGTTAAAAGGAAAGTCAGGGTTTGGTTGTGCCAAAAAAAATGGACTGTGCCTGGAATGGCATTGCTTCTCATAAAACCATACAGAAAAGAGACAGAACCATAAAACCATAGAGAAAAGGCATGACCTCCCCATCCAGGATTGCCCCAGCCCCGAGCCTCCCACCTCCCAGGCTATATCTACATTATGGTATCCCGGAAAAAATGTGCTGCCTCCAGGAAATGCTTCTGCTCTTCCGCTTTTTTTGCAAAAGAGCAGATGCTCTCTTTTGGAAACCCTGTCTTCCTCCTCCCACGAGCAAGAAGAGCTCTTCCAAAAGAGGAGGCTTTTCTGAAATTTGGCCCAGTGTAGATGGGCCAAATTTTGGAAAAGCCTTTTCTGAAAATTTGCGTACCTTTTTCCGATAGATCATTGTAGTGTAGACATAGCCCCAGGCACCCTTTAGGGCAGAGGGGCTGAAGCTCCCCTCCCAGATTTATATGGGGACACTGCTGGCTGTTCTCCTTCATCAGGAATCAAGAGGAAAGTGCACAGTTTGCTGCATTTCTCACTCTGGCTGGGAAGCACAGGCAGCAGATGAACTGTGCACTTTGCTCTCACTCCCTTACAGGGATAGGAAGGGGAAGAGCAAACAGTCATGGTATGAATCTGTGAGTGAGGGGTTCAGTCCCCTGCCCTCCCTGCCTACCCACCTACACACACACACAGAGTCCCTTGCCCCAGAGCTCCTCCTCACCCACCAACCCTGACTCCTCTGCCCTCCTCACCCTCAGCCCCCTTCCCTGAGCCCCTCCTTAAGGACCCAAGCAAAGGAAATATAATGAATGCATATGGCATCGCCGAGTCCTTAGACTCTTCAGACTCTAGAAGGTGC